AGAAGTGGCGAGAATGAGCCCATCGCCGCATGGCCACCACCGCGCCAGGGCGCGGGCAGTGGGTCTCCTGAAGCGCAACAACTGACGATACACTCATCAACTTATGAACTTCCGAGAGCTTGTAGTTCGTGGTCTTCACCTTGTAGTGGCTGGGGGCGCGGGCGTTCCAGGTCGTAAAAAACAGCGCGCCCGCGCCCTTGAAGGCCTCGTTGCCCGCGCCGCCGAACCTCGCGGACACCAGGCGCCTCATAAGCCACCTTCTCAAGCTCGCGCTCCTGTGCATGAAGGTTGGCCAACGCGTCCACGTTCCATTTGAACGGTGGCTTCTCCGTGGGATGCACTTCAACTTTGAGAATGCGATCCCACGACATAGACAGGACACCATCATCTCGATCCACATACACTCGCCGACCAAACTTAGCACTGAACGCATTCCTGACCTTTTTTTCCAAGCACTCTCTCGAGCAATGACCGTTCTGTTCTTGTCAACTGAGACCGACAATATAACAGGGCGACCGCTGGGATTAGTAGTATTGAGCGAGCGCCATTGACCTGCTGCTGCACGTATCGCCGCCGACGCCGCCCCCGCTCGCCGCCCAGCCGCTGCCCTTTGAAACTTGAGCGCGAACGAGCGCCCCAATTGCTCACCCTCCAGCTGGACCTCATTACTGGTAGTGTACGATGCATCTTGTAGCCGCGGCACCAGGCACTCAGCAACCTTCTCGTATGCCACATCAGCCCGCGCACTCTTCTTGATGGAGGCGGCGATCTCGAGCTGCACCTGCTCTGCGATCGAGTGCGCATTCTCCTGCGCCCACGGGTCGAGGGCTGCACGTGTCGCCGCAGACGGGCCCGATGTAGGGGCCACTGGAGTCCCTGTGGCAGCACAGAATCCCGCCCCAATGCCGCGTCCTGCTTCCCTTCTTTGATCACCCTGCTCCACGCCAACGACCAGCGAGGTGCTGATGCGGCGGAGGGGCCGGCCACGCTTGTGGACCACCGGCCGCTGCTGCCGTCGAACAGGACCTCGCTCCGAGCGTCTCCTTGGACGGGAAGGTCGGCGTCTCCTCCAACTGGGCAAGGATCTCAGCAGAGTGCAAGGTAGCCGTCGCAGCCTGGGCCCTCGCATCCTCATGACTGTAACGAAGCGAAGGTCGCTCGTCACCACCATAGGTGCTTCGCGACCGCTGGCCAGGGGTAGGGGCCTCTTGAGACGCACGTTCTCGCGTCGGACGTCCAAGTGTAGCTGGCGGTGTCATGGCAATAGACACAATACACATATGACCAGAGCTGACAGACGGATGGCGCCGCCCGCTAGGAGTGCCATCCCTCTTGCCCGACATGTTTCCCGTTTTTTTCTCCTTCTGTTCCGACTTCTTCTCCCTGTCGCAATCAGGCATGCCACCCGAAAACAGCGCGGCGGAAGCAGCTGGTGTGGGGGCCCAATTCCCACAGTGAAGGCCGAGAACGCACTGCCAGGCAAACCTGCCTTGCCTGCCGCGGACTCGCGGTATCCACTTCTTGGCCTGGCCAATGAACCATCTGCAGCCTAAATGGCTACGGAAGAGGAGGAGCAGGAGGAGGAGGAGGAGGAGGAGGAGGAGGAGGAGGAGGAGGAGGGGAGGGGGCCAGAGGAAAAGACGGTGCGAAGAGAGGGAAAAGGAGGAGGAGGAGGAGGGAGAGGAGCAGGATAATGAGAAGGAAGGGGAGAAAGAGGAGGAGGAGGAGGAGGAGAAGGAGGAGGAGGAGGTGGAGGTGGAAGAGGAGGATGAATCCCTTCTCCAGCCAGCTGGTGCACCCAAGCCTACTCCGCGAGCGCAAGACCGCTTTGTGCACAGGCTCGGTCGCTTGCAGGCACGCGCTCCCACTTGACGCTTCGTATCGGACCGACCTCTCCCCTTCCTCCGCCCTGTTCCCTCTATCTCCGTCCACATCTTCCTCCGCATTCTGAAATGATCCTCCTGTTCCTCCTCTTCCTCCTCCGTCACTTTTTCAGCCACCATCCTCCGGCCCCCTTTTCCCCCGCATTCTCCCACGTCGCACGTGGCATACCCATGATGCCGAAATAATCCAGCACGATGCTCGCATTCCACGGTCATGCTCGCAGCCAACAATCGAAATGCGTGCCCGGTTGGTCAACCGACGACGGAACCGCAGTAGTCAGAACACCGAGTTGCGACAATCACTGCGCCGATCCAATGCGATAGCGTGGGCTGCATCGCCAAGAACGTCGAGGTCAGGTTTGGGTTATCGACGCGGGGGCATCGCTGCGATTACTCTGCACCTGCTGTCGCTCGAAATGAAACTCTTAACGCCAGGCCTCCCATCCTAAGCGAATTCGGCCACAAGGGCTGGCTGGGTCAGCGAAAAGAAAATGCATATGCAGTAAAGCCCCACCAGCCGTCTGGGCGAGGGTGTTTGGAGGACGTAATTGTTCCACTCTGTGCCAACAGTGTTTCTCTTGGGGGAACAATTAACTTCTCCCTTCGCACCCTCTCCGTGGGTCTGGCGGGGGCGTTCCGTGACGGTTGGGGGCGTCCAAGATGGCCCAAGATGGTCCCAAGAGTCCACCAAATAGCCCAAGACGCCCCTGGTCATCGCTCGGACGTCCATTTCCTGTGTTTTTCCGGTTTCGTGCGTGGTTTTTTCGCCAAATGATCAAGGATGCTCCTCGATGGTCCTCGCTGGAGGAAAAATGCACACGTCCGAGCGATGCCAAGGCCCCCCAAGATCGAACAAGATTGCTTCCAACATGCCTCAAACGAGGCGCCATGACCGCCCCAAGACGTCTACAGGTGGCCACGGGCCACGGCACCAACAAAGGACCCCCCCCCCCGGGAGGCCCAACTCCTTCCACCACCCAAGGAAAACCAGGGCCTTTCCCCCCTCCTCCCCCTCTTCCTCCTCCTCCTCCTCCTCCTCCTCCTCCTCTTCCTCCACCTCCCTCCTCCTCCTCCTCCTCCTCCTCCATCTCCTCCTCCCCCTCCCCCTCGTCCACCTCCTCTACCTTCTCCTCCCCCTCCTCGGGTCGCCTACGGCCCCGGGGGAAAACCAAACAGAGCTTGCACTTCGTGGGTCTAGCCTGCCTTCCAAGGAACTGGTCTCGTTTGTCGGATCCTCCGCCTTATTGCCGCCATCGCCGCCCCGTCGCCGCCTCGTCGCCGCCCGTCGTCTGGGCTCGTTTATCGGATCCTTCGCCTTGTTGACGCCGTCGCCGCCCCGTCGCCGCCTCGTCGCCGCCCGTCGTCTGGGCTCGCGTGTCGGGTCCGCCACCTCGCTGACGCCGTCGCCGCCCCGTCGCCGCTCGTGGCCGCCATCCCGCAGCACCCGCCCCGCTGCAGTCCAGTCGCCTGCACTCCAATTGATTCCAACCCCTATCGATTGCAATCGAATCGCTTGCACCACAGAGATCGTGTAATATTTGTAGTCTAGTATATCTATTTATGTGTAAATATACGTGTGTCGATACACATACACATATACATGCACATATTGCATCACATAAGATTGCGCACCAGCGTTTGCACGACACCGAATGCAACACCTATACCGCACCACATCGATTGCTCGAAATACTTGCGCCACATATCTTGCACCACCTAGAATGTGCCACCAGCGATTGCACAACATAGAATGCACAACATCTATTGCACCACGTAGAGTGCACCCCTTGTATTGTCCCACTTAGATTGCAAACAATAGATTGCTAGAAGCACAATGTTGGGGGTCCACGATGGCTGACAAGGGGTCTTTCGCCTGTTCGCGTGCCAAGATTGCCCACGAGGGGCCCAAGGCAGCCTCAAGAATCTCCCAAGAGCGCCGACCAGGCAATTGTAGAGAAACAGCCCTTCTGTTACCGATGCCAAGAGAGCCCCAAAGGCCTCCAAAATGGCATCACGTGAGCTCCAAGAGGGTGCCAAAATAAATGCCATAGGTTCCCAAAGTGTGACTGCAGGCTGTTACCCATCAATGATCAGGGCAATTCGCCGAGTGATCGTTTCTGGAGGGGCTCGTGACGATCCTGCCTCCTCCTCCTCACTCCTCGTCCTCGTTCTCGCCATCCTCCCACCCATCATCCCTCCGCTTCCTCCTCCGCATCCTCCTCCTCCTCCTCCTCCTCCTCCTCCTCCACCTGCTCCTCCTCCTCCTCCTCTTCCTCCTCCTCTTCCTCCTCATCATCATCCCCCCTCCGACGCGAAGTCTTCCGCAGTTTCAACTCCAAGGGCCTCGAACCCAAGCTGAAATGCACAAGACTCATCTCAACCTCCGACACTCCTCCCGGGCTCCTAACGCACTGACTGCCCGTGCTGCGTCAACCAGCGGGAGTTTGAAGAGCCCCCGAAGGCCAGAAAAAACTGGAACGTCGAACCTCCAGGGTCGAACTTACGTCCTCGAACTTCGAGCCTCGAGGATGTAAGCTCGACGGTCGAACGTCGAACCTCCAGGAGAGCATCGAGCCTCGGCGTGTACCCGCGCGCGTGCCGCCGCACAGGGCCAGGCAGGGCGCCGCTCCACCCCGGGCCCGACGCCCTGTCGTGACCCCAGCCCGCGGAGTCTCCTGACTCCTGCCACTCTCTCTCCGTCAAGCCTCCTCCCCCTGCTCCGTCTCCTGGTCATCCTCGTCCTTCTCCTCCTCCCCCCTGCCCACTCCCCCCTCGTAATCCTCCCCCACGCCCTCCTCATCCATCCCCCCCCCCCCTACTCCTCCCATGCAGCATCCCTCCTCATCCCTCTCCGCCTCCTCCTCCTCCTCCTCCTCTACCTCCTTTCCCTCCGCATCCTCATCCTAATCCTCATCCTCGTCCTCCTCCTACCCCCTCCCATCTCGACCGGTACAATGGCTACGCCGACCGCCGCAATCCACCTCGACTGCCACGCCGCGGCCGAAAACAACGCGAGACCTCCGCCTCGATCGATGCCGTCGAGGCGCCCGAGGGCCTGGGGCTGGCACGGAGGAGGCGCGCGCGGAGGAGGCGCCGCCCCCCGCAGCCATTTCCGCC